CCGGAAGCAAGTCCTTCTAGAGCATGTTTGCATTCGACGGAGCAGCACCTAAGACCATCAACATGCTAGCCATGGTTGGGTTCATGTGGGTAGTGGTCGTGGAGGAGATGACTAGCAGAACGATGATGAATCAGCTCACATCTCCCGGACAGACCGAGCTCTTGTTCTTCCTGGTGGCAATGCAATTGCTCACTTACGCATCAATGGTGCCCATCATGAGCTGCGAGTTGTCGGATGCTCGCAGCTTCGGGTCTTTCACAGCGCGAGCGGAGCGATGGAACGGGCCCATGGCAATGGTGGGATTCCTGTCGCTACTGGTGACGGAGATTTTCACCCACACCGCTATCTTCAACTAGATTTGCCGGATGCAGTTGCGACACCCGATGCCAACGGAACGGTGGTGTGCGGGTGTGTTTACATAGGAGCGTAACTTGGGAAGGAACTAGCAGGCCACCAATCGAATGTCAGATGAGTCCACACGCAAATGAGGGAGATCATGAAACATCGACCTCGGGTGCAATATTGTAAATGGGTAGCTATAGTGAGTTTGGGTTCAAGACATGGAACAGGTCATGTGCATGCGAGGATGCATTGTAGAATTTTGATTGTTCCACATTCGCACAATCGTGCGGATGGACCGCACAAGTGTAGCACTGCATAAATGCAGCACATTTAGCTAGTAAAAGGAATTTAGAAGTGCAATCAGTAGGACGGGTTGTTATTGGTGTTTTCAAATGCAAGCTGAGCTGAGACGATCGTTCAATTTCACCAATGGAAAAGAGATTTGTAGGTCGCTGGCTGTAGTTGGACACCAAGAGTGGAGTTGTTGTGTTTTAAGAACGTGAATACACTGATTAGTTTGGAATGCAAACAATGAGATGGAAGAAGATTCTGGTTTGGAATTTTGGACGTGGCAATCTCTGATGTTGTAGGGATTTTGGTGCTTGAACATTTGATGCAGAATAGAGAGTGCTATCATCAGAGGTTTGTGTTTGAAATCAAAGGATTTAGAAAAGAGTATTATTCAATCTAAGATTGTGAATGTTTGTTTCTGATTTAGAAGATACAATATCAGAGTATATGACCATTATAATATAGAGCAAGTTGAGGGTGCCTTGATTGTGTAGTGATTATTACCAATATTCTAACTTTCAAGTTTCAAGCAAACATGCTGGAATTAATCATAACTTTCAACTTTTTATATGATTTTGCATAACATAAATGCATTCAAGACAATGATCAATAGTGTAAAGAATAAACATGGTTTTTTGGAGCTCTACATCTTATGTCTAAGATAAATTTAATAATGCAAAGTTTTGTCATTTAGTATGGTTGTTAGTACTGTGGACTACTTATTTGTCACTTGGAGAGTTATTAGCCCAATTATTCTTCATAGAATATTATTATTGTCATTGTTAAGGAGAACAAATTTGTCTTTGCAATAGATAGGTTTCAGTCCAAAATCAATGCATTGCATGCAATGAAGCTGTAAGTTAAAAGTTTTTTATTCTAGATTTAGGCAATTCCTGCATATAAAAAGATAAGTTAGAGGTTGTCTTTGCATAAGGTACTACTTTGGAAGATAATAGTAAATGCTAAAGCAAAGCAACTAATCTAAGTTTACTAGATTTTCACAACTACAATCTCAAACTCTTAACTTTGTACATTCTTATTATCTATTTTGTTTATGAGATCATATGTGGTGCCACCATCTATGAGTTAGTGGTGAGAAAAATTACATTTCTTCATTTCTATAAATAAAGAAATACTTCCTATTTAAAACAAAAATAAAGTTTGTTAGGTCATCAAAGAAAAGGTGGCAATAATTATTTGAAGGGGTTGGATGAATATGTTTTGAAGTAATCAATAAAGCAATGTGACATTGAGTAATCAAGTATTACAAATAACTTTTTTTGTTTTATTTGTTCTACTTGAAATGGTACAAAGAATTGTGATGCCACAAATATAAGAAAATTAGAAGCTGCTAAATATTGATTGAGCTTAGCCATCATCTCTGATAATCTGTGGGTCCTTCTACTAACTTGATGATGTTGTGTTGTAATTTTGAAGACATAAGATTAATAGATAAATATTTTGAGAAGTAGATTTAATAATAGTAAGTCCACAAATGTGGTTGTTTTTATGGTTAGACCAAATTTTATGTTAAACTAGGAATGTAACTTCCAAAAGAAAACTCAAAAGAATTTTGCTGAAATTAGTAGGCAAATCTTAATATTTTAAAGTTTCAATATAAAAATTTCTAATGTAAAATTATTTTTTATTTTACATTGAAATTTTACTTTTAAAATTTTTAGAATTTTTTCAAAGCTAAAATAAGTAAGACTTCTTAAAATGCTTTATTACAAATAAAAATTATAAGTTAAATAATTTAATTTTATATTACTAATAATACTAAGTAAGTTTTATTTACATATAAAAGTGTAAAAAATTCTTTTACTGTTTTAATATTTTAGAACATATTTGGAAAATTAGAAGTCTCTTTTTTAAAAAAATCAAATACGTCACCAAAGTTATATTTTAGCCTCTGATAAAATCAAATTATAATTTTACTTATAATAATCAAAATCAAGCTTTCTGTGTGAGTGCAATCCATCTACATCTCCCAGAGCTTGTAATGCGCACAATGTTAAGCCTGTTTTGTTGGTGAGATACTATTTAGCCACTGCATTTGAAGTCAAAAATTTCAACTTTGGAATACGAAAACTTGAAAGCCAGACTATTGAACATGTAGACATAGCTTATCCTTGTAGCCTACTCCATCTTTGATAGAGTTGTGTAAGTAATTGTAGTCCTCTAGACACTTTTTTTTAGAAAATGTGAAGTCTGAATTGAACAAGCAGGGCGCCTCCTGTCACAAGATTTTTGTTTCTTACTGCAATAACCTATTGCACTGAAGATGCCGTTACGGACTGGTCTACATATTAAGAGGAAACACCGAAATAATCACAGCTGTGATTTTCCGGAGAGCTGCTCAGGATTTCACATCTTCTCGCATCTTCACAAAGGAACGTCTCCGTGACCATACCTTGTAGGGTTATATTATTGCACCACAGTGCGATGAATTCAAACTTGTCGGTTCACTCGATGATGTCAAGAACAGCTCAAACTTGTCTGGAGCATGTGGAAGGTCATCCAATTAGACTACTTTTGAGTGTGGGTTTCAGATGCTGCACTGTTAGTGTACATATAGCAGAAAAACAAACATATGCTTGAGAATGATTTGGTGTCTACAGAAATAGACCAGTCTCAAACTTGCCCCACGAAAGGGACAATAGTCAGGATATTCACAAACTCTAAGTCAACTGCGGTAAAGAACTTCAAGGCAAAGCGACCAATGTTTCAAGCCACTTCCAATCGTTGAGTTTGAGGTGGTGTCAATGTTCTCCAGATCTCACGGTGATAGGTGCAAGTCTGTCAGCAAACATGAAAGTTTTGCCTAGAATACCGTGTCTGAATTGAGGGGAAAGGTGACTCTAATTCCACCTACTGTATGAATTAGAGCTTGCACTACACAAGAGTCAGTTGGCCCAGTCAGAGAGCTTTACCCCCAAACAGTGTGGTATGTGCTGTGGAGCCCCAGCAACCAAAGTGGACTAGACTCCCAACCAAACGTGGGCTAAACAATGAAGAAGACTATGTGTTGACTTTGAAAATCCACCCATCCCTCACAGAAAAAAAATTAATTAATTAATTTTAAAATTAAAAATCTTTCCAATCTCTTGTGTATGACCTGCCTGCCTGCCTTGGTTAATGCATTTTGACGTACCGTATACAATAAAATTTACAAAACTATTGATGTAAGTATTGGTAACTGTTGGTTGAGCAGGAGTGTGTCTATGAATATATATATATATATATATCCACACACACACACACACATTCGTTCACCCTTGGATCTTAATATCTTTGAATTATTTGCACTAGTGAATATTGAAGTTCAGGCTGTTATATAAATCATTGTGATGATTAATTATTAAAATAAATTATATGTAATTACATGTAGAAAGTAGAGACGGTGTGTGAATGAAGGTTCATTTTAAGCAGTTAAAATGATTTTATATTCAATAAAATAAAATAAAATAAACTAAAATAAATTGTTGTAGGGTTATTGCAAGGCAAGCATATTAAACTAAGGCAAAATTCACATGGCCAAGATTGTTCTTGCGCCTGGTTTAGAAAGATCAATTGTCGATAAGTTTTTTATTATACAATAATTATTTTTTATTTTTACTAGTAGTTGTAATTATGGATACTCTTACATGGACACCCTGATTCAAATAGAACCAACATTTCATTCCAAACAAAGTCTTAATTTTTTGGTCAATTTTCATTTAATATGAAACAATGTTAAGACATGTATTCTTCTCTTCACCTTTTATTATACAAATACTCACTGTTTGCACGAAGTCTAAATCTGCTACAACTAGAGAATTTATAAACATTAAATATGAAATTATTTTGAATTATTATTATTTTTTTAAAAAAAAAAAAAAAACTAAAAACATACACCATTTCAGGTGATTCTTTTTAGTTAGAGTTGATTGCAAAATTCTATCTCGAAAAACCCAACCTATGACTTTGTCTTTTTATAGAAAATTCTAACACAATAACAATAAATCTTAAACTTATTTTTTAAAATTAATTATTTAAAATATTGATTTCCTTGAATTACATGATATAAATCAGTTCACATTAAGCCATAAAACTACTGAATTGAAAGAAAGTGACGGTCATGGGCGTTATCCCGGAATTAGGCGAAGGTACGGTCACAGCGTTTCGCCGTGGGGGTCGAGCCGCACAGGTCAACTATTACGCAGACAGTTCACTTTGAAGGACTTTCCAGTTGACGATGGAGACCACGATTGACCCACGTTCCCATCCCCTCTCGGTTGAGGGAGTCAATGGCGAACAGCTTTCGGATCTTTTTCAGAGAACTTGGCTGGAAAAAGGTGCCCCTTTATCTCATGCGTTTCCAAGAGTTCCCACCAGTCGTCTGCCTCGTTCCCCATGCCCACGCTTTGCTAGTCTCCTCTGCTCCGCTTGTCCTCCTCGCTCGCTGAGGCTTTTAACTCTGCATTCGCGTGGAAAGTCTTCGCAGTCCGCTCCCGAGGCTTATGAACATCGCCTCTCGGGCTCACTTGACGTCTCCAGTCGGACGGTGTTTTTGTGTATGCTGTTGCGTCTTTGGGAGAGCTTTCGAGCGAGGTGAGAAGTGGATAGTGTGGTGCAATACGGAGGGAATTAGACGGGGAGGACATCGGGTTTTGGTGGTTTGAGAGCTGCAGGGGAAAGCGTTGTTGCGGAGTACAAATGAGTCAATGCGGAGTTGTTCTTTCATGCAGTTGAGCTTCTTCTTTGCTTTTCTTTTTTCCTTCTTGAAGGAAATTCGGTGAATGTAGCGGTTGAAGATTTGGTGCAGCGTTGAGGTATGTGCTAGGGAGGGGGTTTGAGTGACTGAAGCAAGAGGGACGTTGCGATCGCTGTGAGCTGCTTCAAGTTGGTTTGTGTGATGAGTTGTGATGCTGCAGTGGAAGAGAGCGTAGAGTAATGCGTTAGATTGAGTCTAGTCATTATTCGAAAACTTTTAAGACTTGGAGTTCTTACATTATTATGATTTTATGGCTGTCGCAGGCCTGTGGTTGTGAATCTTGTCTATTTTCTGGCACTCAGGGAAGGGCTAGGCTTGTAGGATTTAAGCGGAAGGATTTGAAGGGTCCGGAGCTTGTTGTTTACACGGTCCCGTGAAGAGAAGACGATTTGAGCGCCATGGCGACTGGACAGTTGTTCTCTCGCACAACGCAGGCCTTGTTTTATAACTACAAGCAGAGTCCGGTGCAGCGCATGCTTGATTTCGATTTCCTTTGCGGTATGTCATCGCTCTACACTCAGTTCTCGAGCTTATCTCAACGTTTTAGTCAAGTTCTTAACTTTTACATCGCCAGAGTAAAAGATCAGTCCTTGAATGGCTGAAGTTCACATAATACATCGTCAATTTAAACAGTAAGGCTTGCCTTTCATGAATTTGTCGAAAATCATTTCGTGTTGTGCATCAGTGATTACTCGAAGTCTTAATTTCTCTTGAAACTTTAACTTGAAATTGACCTTTAACTTACCCTCGTAACGTTGAGCATTCGTCTACGTCCCCTGTGTCGTTGAAGTGCCTCGATGACCACCTTCTCTGCAATTGTCTTGATGATTCAGGAACAATTATTGATCTCACTGATATTATCGTTTAATTCAAAGTTAATTTCTCCATGTGAACTCAGATCTGTTTGTTTGAACAGTCGGACGCAAATTCCAATGGTTCAATTAGGTTTTCCACTAGATCTATAGTTCGCCTCTTCACCCCTCAACTCTTCACGAGTCCAGCGCCAACATTTTAAAGTGTTAGTACTGACTTATTGCTACAAACTACACGAAATGTTGCTGTATATTGTGCACCAGTACAAAACTGGTCGCTTCAGTGGGTCTGTTGAGTTTGGTGATGCTCCATTGTGCCTCGACAATAGTTGATGAGATTGTACCTGACGTCACAGGAAGGGAGACGCCATCTGTGGCTGGTGTGATCAACCCAGGATCTGATGGTTTTCAGAAGCTCTTTTTCGGGCAAGAGGAGATCGCTGTACCTGTCCATGGCAGGTGTGAGCTAAACCTTGGAAAGACTCGTCAAGTTTGCTCTAGTACAACTCAAGTGCTTTTTTGAATTAGTGCTCAAGTATTCGCTTACAATACCTTTAATGGTTTTCAATAGAATGGACCCTTGTGGGATTTTACCTTTAAATGTATGCTAAGTGACTAACTCTGTAATCAGTTTGGCTGATAATAGATGCGAGAATTTTGCTTCTGAATAATGTTCTGACTGAGTTCATTTGGTCAAAGTGAAGTAAATTTGAAGCTGAGTTTGTCTTGTTTATGACTTTCGAACAACTTTTAAGTATTACAGAATTATCATAGAAGCTGACCTGCTTTACCATCGGTTTCTGCAGCATTCCATCTGCGTGCAAAGTTCATCCAACGGCAGATGTTTTCATCAACTTTGCATCTTTTCGCAGGTGTGCAAATGTTGCCTATACAAATGACTAGTATTTTGTGCCATGGGTTCTCTGCTAATGCGATAAATAGGAAGTTATCAATATCCTTCTGCTACTGGATCTTATAAATTGCTGTCGTGTTGTGCGCCGAGATCAGTATCTGTTTCATTTGAAAGGAATGACTTTTTATTTGGCTGCCATGACTATGGTTGCAGTTTTAGAATAACTATTTAAGATTGAATGAACTCTATTTAATCAATCATCGTTCACAGTGCTTATGCTTCATCCATGGAAGCTCTCAAGCAGTCAACAATCAGAGTGGTTGCAATCATTGCTGAGGGAGTTCCTGAAGCGGATGCCAAGAGACTCATCGCTTATGCTCGTGCAAACAACAAGGTATAGGGGACCCTCTACAGTCAGTGAAATTTATTTCCTCTAATATAACGCTCAGGCTTGAATGGATTGCCGACTGTGCTATTGCTCATATAAATGCTGGAGTTGTTATTCGTCAGCCATATTCAATGCACCCCACAGATTTTCTAAAGGTGTATGACGAGATCCTAGGAAGTCGGAGTATTACCCTTGTTAGTTTGTTGAGGGAAAAACCCACCTTGCCGTAGTTGATTACCTGCAGTTCTGTTAGCATACAAATAAATGTGACATCAAACGATGACTTTCATCAAGTGTTCTTCATTAAGAATATTCTTTCACAGGTCGTCATTGGCCCAGCCACTGTAGGAGGTATACAGGCTGGTGCATTCAAAATTGGTGATACTGCAGGCACGTTGGACAATATCATTCACTGCAAGCTTTATAGACCTGGATCTGTTGGGTTTGTGTCTAAATCAGTAAGCACGTTTTCCTCGTACCCATTCTTTTAGATAAGGCTGCAGTGAAACATGTGCATGGCACGTTTGCTCGTGAATTAACTGAGTGTTCAAGACAGCTGCTGAATGGTTTTTAAGAGGTACAGTACTCAGCTGACAGGTCCAAAGTGAGGTATCTCAGACAACCTCATCAAGTAGAGAACACTATTTTTTTTTTTTTATTTACGCCATCCAAGGAGCTGCGTAAACGCAAATGTATGCACTGGGGGCATCTCTAATTGGATTTTGGTGGTTCATGCACAGGGGGGTATGTCAAATGAGATGTACAATGTTCTTGCTCGTGTTACTGACGGCCTCTACGAAGGCATTGCCATTGGTGGTGATGTCTATCCTGGGTCAACGCTTTCGGATCATGTTTTGCGCTTCAACAACATTCCACAGGTATCCGTTTCTGACTGCGAATTGTATGATCGCTCATGCAGGATCCAGGAGCCAAGTTTATTACATCGTGAATGTAATTTCTATTTTGAATATTCTTTATCGATTTTTTCATAAGAGCTCTAGTGTTTCCTACGTGAACCAGTCTTATATCTGTGCGTTTCTTCGTGCTGATTTCAACGAGGACATAATCTTTTTTTTGGTACGCAGATCAAGATGATTGTTGTCTTGGGAGAGTTGGGAGGAAAGGATGAATACTCCCTAGTTGATGCTTTAAAGGAAAAGAAGGTCAGCAAGCCAGTTGTGGCTTGGGTTAGTGGCACATGTGCTCGACTTTTCAAGTCTGAGGTTCAATTTGGCCATGCTGTAAGTTCCTTCTTGACCTTAGTATTCATTTTATCTTAGTAATCTATTGATCTATTTTCCTGATGCTGAATTTCATAAGCTTGAATACAGGGCGCAAAGAGTGGTGGAGATGAGGAGTCTGCTCAAGCCAAAAACAAAGCTTTGGCTGATGCTGGAGCTATCGTGCCTACTTCTTTTGAGGGTTTGGAAGCTGTAGTCAAAGCTACGTATGACTCAATGGTATTCACTCAGAATTAATCACAAGTTCCAGTTCTTCAGAACGTCAATTTTTTTTGCCTTTTTTAATGCAAGAAGATAGTTTTTTGACTGACTGAATCTTTTACCTAGGTTGAGAAGAGCGTCATCATCCCAGTGAAGGATTTCATACCTCCCACTGTCCCAGAGGACCTAAATGCAGCCATCAAGAGTGGAAAAGTGCGGGCACCTACACACATTGTGTCTACTATTTGTGATGATAGAGGTACCTGAGAGCCCGCTTTCTTCGCATATGGTGGTCTATGAATTGCTGGATTTTGTAGTTCCCTATTCTCGATAATAACCTAAGTGAAAGTTACTTAACATACCTAAAAGTTTTAAAACGTTCAGATTAATTGTCTTCTGGTCCTGTTAACTACCATTGTTTGCTCAGAGTTATTGTGGTGTTCCAAATGTAGTCACCATGCATCTTTCCCTTCTGTAGGTGAAGAGCCAACATATGCCGGCGTGGCAATGTCCACGATTATTGAGAAGGATTACTGCGTTGGTGACGTTATTTCACTGCTTTGGTTCAGGCGTAGTTTGCCTCGCTACTGTACTAAGTTCATCGAGGTATTAACTCTGATCGACCTGAAATTTGTCTCTCATTAGATTTCAGGCGTGTCGTGCAATATTTTTCTGCTACTTTAGGAGCAACGACATTACAGTCATAGCAGTCCCAAAGCAATCGCAGCCTATTTGCCGATATTCCCATCAGTGCCGCCCGTATTCTGCCTAGTCAGTGAGTGAATGATAAAATATTCCAATTTACGTGGCTTTTTTCGCAGATGTGCATAATGCTCTGTGCAGATCATGGCCCTGCTGTGTCTGGAGCACACAACACTATTGTCACTGCTCGTGCAGGAAAGGACTTGGTATCAAGTCTTGTGTCTGGTACAGTCTAAATTGCAGAAGCTATGTTATGTATGAAGCTCTTGAAATATTCTTTGCTATTGCTAAAGCTTGCCCCGTTATACTTATCAGAATTGTGTAACTGATTTATATTTTTTTAATGAATACTAGGTCTTCTCACAATTGGCCCTCGTTTTGGTGGAGCTATTGATGATGCTGCTCGCTATTTTAGAGAAGCCCATGACAACGGATTATCGCCTTACGCATTTGTGGAAAGCATGAAGAAGAAGGGTATCCGTGTTCCTGGAATTGGCCACAGGTAGGCTCTTTCTACTGTCAGGTGTTTCATTCAGACGTTCAAAGTACCTGCATTTAGTACGGTTCCTTGCAGTTCCTAGCTTGTATTTGATTCTTCGGTCTACGAGGATTGTTACTGAACTTCGTTTACTGTTGTGTGATAACGTGTTGGTCCATTGGAATTTCTGTTTGTTGGGGAAATGAAACTCATTGAAGTTCTGCCCTTTGTGCAGGATCAAGAGTCGAGATAACAGAGATAAGAGAGTGGAGCTTTTGCAAAAGTACGCACGCACGCAATTCCCAAATGTGAAGTACATGGAATATGCTGTGACGGTGGAGTCTTACACATTGACGAAAGCGAACAACCTCGTGCTCAATGTTGATGGGTGCATTGGAGCCCTTTTCTTAGACCTGTTGTCTAGTTGTGCAATGTTCTCTAAGCAAGAAATTGACGAAATTATCCAGATCGGTTACCTTAATGGGCTTTTTGTTTTAGCAAGAAGCATCGGCTTGATTGGGTACGTGATCGCACGTGTGTTCATTGTAAAGCTTCAACAGATTGATTTGTGTGGTATCGTTTTGCATGATGCATTCTTCCATTATCAATGTCGATAGAATCCTAATGTATCCACTTATTGTCCTGCAGACATACATTCGACCAGAAGCGTCTGAAGCAGCCTCTGTACCGGCACCCATGGGAGGATGTGTTGTACACCAAGTACACATAAATTCATAACACGATCTAGTAGAGGATCTAAATCTTATTAGAGTGATTCTTGGTCGGCTACAATTTTAGTGGCTGATCTTGTGGAAACACCATTTAGCTGTAGCAATGCACAAAATATTTGAGATCACATAATGTACCTACTTTTTCAGAGCTTCGTATGTACCTGCTCGATAAATTCCATCACCTGGGTACAGGAACCTGCCTTCCGCAACAAACTATTATTTTTTTGCCACACTATGTTCTGTACCACTCGACCGTCAAGCACTCCATCAGCATTGTAGCAGAACACGTCATTTGTAGTCATCTATGAATTAGTGAAGTAGCAGTATAGATGAAGACATACAATCTGGTGAGCAAGGTAGTTTGCCAAGATGACGTTCTGGCGTCAATTGTAACTAATATGTAGTCATCAAGAGTATTAAATCCACCGCATTCAAGATATTATCTGTAGTGGATATTTTCACGCTCTGCACCGGGAAAAGATCTTGGTCTAGGGCTTGAACCCCCAGACAACATCAACGTTTAGACTGAACATCAATCCCTTTTGTTACTTGACATTGAAACTCACTGCAGATGCCAGCAAACCAACGTGCCTGCCATGGTTGTCTTTCCAGCGTCCTATAATCAACCAGTGGGACAAGCCCCGATCTATGACGTCTTCAGCTAAGGAATCTTGTCACTTGAAATTTACCTCGATGAGTCCACTACACCTGGAGTAACGAAATAACTGAATTTCAACATTGTTACCTGAAATTAGTTACGAGTAACCCATTCAATCGCTCATGGGAGGTAGCCCACATAGAGAATGAATTTTGGAGGCAATTGTTGCCACCTGCTTAGGTGTGTATTGCGTGCCAAAACCTGGTAAATGCTTGGCAGCAACTTTTCGGTCGAAGTAAAATTCCCCATTTTGAAGCTTTGCGCGTGGTTGCAACGCCAACCAAGTAATTGTATCTGCTCCTTCATTTAAGAACCTCAGTGATTTTTGAAAGCTAGACATAACAGTTGATTACAGTCAGCAACGTCCTGAATTGTCAAATATCTGAATAGACCTCTCAGACTTGGACCATTCAACAGCTTCACTCCACAATTTTTTAGAACAAGTAAAGACTGTGCCAACGAAGAGCAGAGAGGCCGTAATGTAATTCAAGAATAATTTAAGAATCTCATCTACTGCTACAATCACGATGGTAATCAAATAGAAACGTTGGTAGCCAGTTATTGATCCCGACTATTGGCACCAAAGAAATGTGCAGAAATTGACATACGTTGAGTGGAAGTCGGGCATGCTTTTCTTCAAGCCCCCAGTATCAACCCAACCTGGATGCATAGAGTAGAATCCAACAGCGTCTTTATGCTTCTGAACCCAGTACTCTGTTAATGCGACCTGCACAGACAATTTGGACGATGTAATATAACATGATAAATCAATCCAGGCTAGGAGTCAATTCAAATGAATTGTAGCCTAGAATCCATTATTGGATCATACTGTACAACGTGAAGCTCCTGCCTCAAAGTTGCAATGGTGTGTCACAATTTAAAGCCAAGTAGCGATCAAAATTTACAATGAAAAAGATGAATTACTACATGAGGACAAAAGTTGCTCAGATTGAGATGGAGAAGACTGCAATGTAACAAAAGGGCAACAATATTGTGGAGTTGTTCGGAGGCTAGATCTCACCTGCACGCGCTTGTTGCGCGCATATTGAGTCGTTCCATCAAAAACATTCTTGTCCTCGTACTGCTCACTTGATCAGAGAATGCGGAATATTAGCTATGTCTAGAACAAAGGACAACGTTCCAACAAATTAATTTATGAACGATCATCGTGGTGCGCTTTGTGGAAACTAAAAAGTACCTGCAGATTTTCATTGAGGTTTTCAGTTAACATGCCCCCAGATGAAACTGTTATCACACGAGACTCGGGTGAAGCTCGTTTCAATGCAGGCATCAAGAGTTCCGTCATAGCATACACACCAGCAACGTTCACTGCGAAATTTGTCTCCAACCTGGACACAAGAATCGTTAAGCTTGAGCTCATAATTGTACGTGTGAACTAGCTTAGCTGTTCTTAAACTTTTCTACATGGTTCAAAGTGGATGCGACTCATTCTTACCCATCCACAGTTTGAGTGCGCTCGGTTTCCATTAACCCTGCATTGTTCACCTTCATCCAGAAATAAGTTAACTCAGAAGCCATACTGTGTCCAACATAAGGCTTTAGACATACAGTTCAGAGGATATCGTATGACTATCAGGAGATTAGATGCGTGACTTTCTCTGCAGCATCAGGCGCTTCAGTAGAGAATGACCACTGAGATTCGGCGAGTTTACCAGTATGTGAAGAGGTCGACCAGATGATGTGTATTCAGCAGCAAAGTCTTTGACTTGCTGTAGCGATGACAAATCACAGACCTGTTTTCAAAGAAAAAAGAAAATTCGTTACACTCTCATAAAATTCATCCCCATCTTCAATGTCAAGGTTCAAAAATCGACAAAGTTTCTTGCACGAAATCGCCCAGAACACCTCATAATTACATAGGCAACGTTAAATTGTTTTTTGGAAATTCATTTGAGAAGTAGTACACCCTGCCACTAAGATGCCCAATCGTTTTAGTGTTGCAAGGCAAACTTGATTAGTGACCTGAAGGGACACATTTGGGTTCCCAGTTTTGGCCTTGATCTCCCCAACAGCCTTCTCCCCTTTCTCCTTCGATCGACACACCAAGTGCACGGTTGCGCCCCTGCAATCACAGCGTGCTGACCAGTACATGAGTGAAGTCTAAATGTAGACCACGAAAGAATAACAATCTGCAATCTCCAATCTTAAGGATAATCTTGACATCTTATCTCCTGGAAGTCTGCTAACAATAATTGCCATCACCAGACATCCAGTAAAGGAGATTTTAAACTCTTTACAACGTCATGGTCAAGCCTATTTGAACATACACGTGACAGTTGAAGAACGGTGAATTCTCTTTTGCTAAATAATCTAGGTTGGGAAGAAAATTGTTAGGGCCAATGCAGACATAGTCTGCTGGGAATCCAGCAATATAGCGCACATGTTTGTGTACACGATGTACCTGGCCGCAAGTGCTTCTGCAGAGGCATATCCAATGCCTGTATTGGCACCTGTCACCAGGCACTGTTTGTCTGTTAAGTCCACTGCCATTTCCTGATCCTTAAACTCCTTCTGGTGCTTCCTGCACAGATTGTCAGCAACCAACTCGGAATTAGCCAACCCTGTAAACAACCATGGGAAGAAACCAATCTCAATGTCAACGTAGAAATCCTGTCAAAGCTGTGGCACTGAACGAGGTCCACTGCTTAGCAAAAAATCCAGAGTCGGGCCTACTCACTAAGTTTAACCTGTTGTGGAAACTAGCGTACTCATAGACTAAGACTAATTTATTACTATGAAGAAAATGCTAGAGTTGTGCTTCAAAGAATTCATACAGGAAAGATCCCCGAGTCCAGTTCATGTATCCATAGGAGACGAAGGTAGCAGTCTTGTATGCCTGCAAAGAAAATACACGTGCAGCATTATAAACAGAATCAAATCATCCGCTAAGTTCCTCGATCTTCACTCGTCCAAGACCCACAGATTATATTCGAGGCAAAGATTTACGTGCGGTCTTTTAGACTAAATGCTGTACCACATCAGTGTCCAGTTCCGCAAACAGCTACATCGTGGTTAACGTCTCCAGCCTGCTAATATTACTATCAACTTCACTCTGACAACCTAATGAAGGGTGCATTCATGCCCAAACCGCTATACCCAGGTTGAAAATTTTGAAGAAGCGCATTGAAACCAACCCAAACCTTAAAAGTACTCATTATTACGCCCATACACGACTGCTACAAGGCACACTGCTACAGCACAAGTTTCAGAGGCGACAAAACGCAAACCTGCCGCAGAAACATTGCTACAGCGCAGAAGAATTGATGATCACGAGGGGCTGAACCAGCGATCCAAGCATAGAAACAAACCCTACACCAAACCCAAGCCTCTTTCACAAGCAAGCCTAATTTCAAATGCTGTCAATCTGGCCTTTCGTTCGATCTCCTTGAGCGAACAAGGGCAAAACCCAAATAAGATCAGGATGAAGCAGCAATAACAACGACGCAGGATTAAAGTTGCGATCTTTCCAGGTATGGTGTTGAGGAATCCCCGAGGGTAACTTCACGACTCCGACAATTTCCAAAAGGTGACGATGTGATGTGTGGGGTCCAGGCAGGTAAATTGCAAACCAGGGGATGGACCTCAGCCTCGCCACAGGAGGTGGCTTCACATCTTACGAGCACCAATTGTCAATTGCGTCGCCGACCATGATCTAGACAAAGCAATATCGTCGTCGTCGTCGTCGAGGCCACACTTTGAACGCTGCGCCTTCGACACCACCACTCGCCTCACCTTTGCTCTTGTTTCTCTTGTTGAAAATGGATTCTGGAACTAACGTCGAAACACCTTAAACCATGTCAGGCCCTTCAGAACCCCAAAACCGTTTTGAAGAATGTAGAAAGATTCTGAATCGATTCCAAGTCCACCAATGATTTGCAAGCTTTACAACAAAAAGTTGGTGGCTCAGACTATTTTTGTGGTGGTTGAACATGTTTTTATGGATTGTTTTGCTCAAGTCTACACCTTGATTTAGGGGTCAAATGCAAAAACTACTTTGATAATTTTTGTCAATTAAATCACTACAACAATTCAATTTTTTTTTTTTTTTTTTTTTTTTTGAAATACATTAAAATCTTATTTCTTCACCCAAATTTTTTTCTTTTCCAAAAAAGTTAAAAAAAAACCTCAAGTTGATGATTTAAGGTATTCCAACGTTACTTGTAGCTGTGTGGAATTCTTTTATGGCTAGAAACATAATAAAATTGTTTCATTGAAATCTTGGCTTAAGTAGTTGCATTTGGTGTTCTTTGTATAATAAGTGTTATTTTGTATTTAGAATTTGGAGTTTTTTTTCTTTACTAATTAGTATATGAATTCCTATCATAATATTTGTTTATAAGAAGATCCTTCATTAAGCTTGACTAACTAATATAAATTGTTCCATCAAATTAGATTTATTCAACTAATTGTGAATTATACACAGAATGTTTTTGAATTGTATCATTCATAGATGATACATCTTTATATTTATTATATTAATATCTAATGAAGATTAATCTTGTATTTAATATAGACTAGTTTTATATTCTATATTATTAGAAAAAATCTTATAATTGATTGATTTTGATAATTTTTATGTTTATATTTTTATAATTTTCTTTAATTGGCTAAATAGTTGTTGAGTGAATTTTCTACATCTTCATCTACACCTATATATTCATGAAACAACAATGACCATTTAATGCATTTATTCCTTAATAACTTTCAATTATTGACATGGCTTTCAACTTTTCTTTTTAATTAGACTTATTTTCTAGTATCCTTATTTTTCAATCATAATTGATTTTAATTCTTGCCTTAATTAATTTTTTACTTATTTTATAAATTAAATTTAAGATTAGCAAATATTTTATTTAAGATTTTATTTTTTATTTTTTTATCTATTTTTTATTAATCATGTTTATTGGCGATTTTTTTAAAAAAATATTTATTATTATTTAATCTTGTAGTTTTAATTATTTAATTAAAAATCAATATTAATTAAAATATTTTAATATGATTATATCTATTTAATCTTATCAATATTTTATTAAAAAGATAAAAGATCTATTTATGAAAATATATAATATTTAATTATTATTTTAGTTATTTATCAAATAAATTTATAACAAAAAAATGTACCAAATATTAAATATTTATTTCAATAAATTATTCTTCTTTTTCTTTCTTTTTTTTTTTTTTTTTTTTTTTTTTGACTGATTGATGTTTTTTCTAAGACATAAATCTCAAAGAACTAAAAGATTAGTATACTCTTATGTCAGTCAAAAAGGCCAAGAAATTACTCAATGGTGTTATAATATTATACTAGAATGGATATTGCCAAAGACAAGAAGATTAGAAAGTTATGAAACAAGACTAAGTACTAAAAAGTCATTGGCAAGAATAAAGAAAGCTTCATTCTTGCCTCCATATCTACTATCTAACTAGGAACTACATGGCAACATTCCATAGGACCTCTAACACATGTCCAATTTGCAAGACACATGTCTAACTTATAAGATAAGTATTATATATGCGCACCATCTGGTCAGCTTGTTCTACAAGCTACTAGCACGTTTTTTTGTTGAAAAATAGCATAATATGTAAAAATAATATGAAATGTTAGAAAAGTTTGGATTTTAATTAATAATAAAATAAAAATAGAAATAAATAAAATAAAATATTTATCTAATTTATTTAAGTTTATATTTTAAATTTTATAATTCAAGATAGAAATTGTAGGATTTATTAGTAAGGAATTTAGAAGGGCTTTGGTGTCAAAAACATAATATTTTGATTCTTAAGCTACCTATGTAGGTAGATAAGGTGAGTGATAGAGGATTTTATTTCCTAATCACTAATCAATTACAAATATGTCTTAAATCAAATATGTATCTATGAAGATTTTAAAAAGCATTGCCATAAGTTACTATCAAATCTACTTACATTCATCTTCTACTTAATAATTTTTATTTATATAATTATATATATATATATATATTTTTGTAACATTATCTTCCTCTCTCTTTTTAAAGACAAAATCCACAAGGAAAAGCAATCATATGTTGAAAAAGCTCAAGATGTGATAAATTACATTTGCTACATACTTTAATCTTTGTTGCTTTAGAAGGTGGTTGATAGGTCCTCTTAGTCATTGATAGTGTCTCATACCAAGACAAGAAGATCATCCTATTATTTGATTATTCTTGAGGCCTTTGTATCTTTCTTGATATATAACATTTGGAATACCATTGAAGGTAGTTCTTACTTCCAAAAATATCACCAAATATTGGAAGTCTCTTCTAAAGCTGTGATACTAAATATATTATATTTTGCCATTTATTTGAAGAAGATCATATTATTCTTGAAGATCTTCATTTTTATTGCATCATCTTAAAGATTTGTCATAATTGAAATTTTTAATCTAATAACTTAGAAAATAATAGCTCTTAAAAAGAATCTATTAATTATTAATTTTCCATCTCTTTATTACTAAAAATATATAAAAATTATAAACAAGAATAGAAGTTAGAATGTAATTTTTTTTAAACCTTGTTTCTTTTATAGCAAAGATTTTTTATCTTTCATCTTATTTTAAATGAATTTCATCAATAAAAAGAATCAATCTTCTTTGCTATATTTGCTAGATTATTAGTTGGCTCTAATGTATATTTATTAATATCATATCTCCACCAATGAATAAGATATTCTAATATATTTTGGCATTGCCTTGACTCTAAGACTTCTTCAACTTCATGTTCTTGATTATAGTCTTCTTTTATAAGGAGAAGTGGCATTTGTCATCTTTTTGATAAATTTATTATCTTTTATGGCTTAAAAAGAAATACATAGAATACAAGATGAATCTTCATACATTTTGGTAGATACAAGCAATATGCAACTAGATTAATCTGTTAACATGTAAAAAATGATTCACATATACAATAATCCAATTATTCAAAAAAAAAAATAGTTTTGATATTATGAAGAAATAACCATATTTTGTCACCAACATGAAACTCAGATTATTCCTTATAACAAGCTCTGCTATTGTAATGTATTTAATTTAGGTATATCAAAGATATTTGGAAGGTAATTAATTTTACTTGTAAAGAGAAAGGAATTTAGAATAAGAGATTTTTGCCTTACATGGATTGTTCAAGCTTTGAGGGTATTATCTTTTAAAATAATAATCCAACTCTATAGTAGTTTAAGACAAGTATTAGAAAAAAATTAGAGCATAAATTTTGGCATGAAGTGGATTATTTTATTTTATTTTATTTTATTTATATATTTATTTATTTATTTGGATAAGAATATATAGGAGGGAAATTATTGGAGTTCATGAATAGCAAGATTCAAAATTGATTTGGATTTTTATATACTATTTATTAGATTATATATATATATATAATCTAATAAATAGAGAGAGAGAGAGAGAGAGAGAGAGAGATTTTGAAAGAAGCTAGATCTTATTGTTAGGTTTCCAATAAGCCATTGTATATAAGAAGAAGACCTATGACAAGGGAGGTCCAAGCTAATTTATAGAGAAGGATTTCAAGGGCTGCAACTACAACAAGTGACCAATTTGTTTTTCGGTTTGGCTTTCAATTTCTTTGAAATTTATTTATTAAATTTAATATTTTTAAGTTTTTAGCTTGAATTAAGTTCAATGAGCTAAAATTTTCTTAAATTGAATTAATAGTAAGTGATTTATAGATATTTTAGTAAAAACAAAGTTTTTGTTTGAGATTAGAATTAAAGATTGGATACATCTTGGCATGAGAAAGAAATTGATCTAAAATTTATACTAAGTCTTTGAGCTATTTTTTATATTTGAATTCATTTGAGCAACATTGTGCTTCTTACAATCCACTTATAATCAATGACTTTGTGTACTTTTGAGGAGACATGTCCTTGATACCAAATTGATTTTTTATTATTATTGAACTTTTTTTAGTTGTGCCTTTATTGTTGCATGCAGTTCTAAAAAAAAAAAATTCAAATCTCTTGCCATGAGATTATCAACTTTTGAAAAGTGAAAAGTATCAAATTATAGATGATAATCATAATTAACAAGAAAATATTTTTATTGAATAGAAAAATATACCATATTATTATAATGATATTTCAATGATAAAAGAGATGTCCAATCATCTTATTAATAGTTGGTAGTATACTTGAAATATTGCTTTAAAATTTGATTCATTTATTTTATTTGTCCATCAATTTGAGGATAGAAAGCCAAAGTTAGTTTTATATCTACCTTTAGAATCTTGAAAAGAGTTCTTTAAAATCTTGATACAAATTGACTCTTCCTATCTAATATAATATTCTTTCAAAATCCATAATAACAATGGATGTTATCAAAAAGAAAATTAGTTGTTTCTACACCTATAATAGATTTTGTACAAGATATATAATATGCCATCTCGGTGAATTAATCTACTATTATTGTAACACGATATAGATAAGATATTTATATTTTTATTATATATAAATTGGTAATTGGAGCTATATTTAGAATATTTTTAGAAGTTTTTAGAAATTTCTAGAATTGAGGCTAAATTGATGGTCTATATAGGATCCACCATAGAACGTTCTAAAAAAGGCTTAAGGTAGTTATCTAAGTAGGATCTACTATTAAGAATATTCTAAAAAGTTCTAGGATGGTTGAACAAAGTATAAATAGGACTAGCCAAGGTCATTTGGATATCAGATCAAGTATAACTTTGGTCCTTTTTTTTTTAATAAAGTTTGGTTTTATATTTTTATATT